ATTACTTACTTGTTAAGATTGATGTCTTTTCCCTTCTCGTGGGCTTCAACCAGCTGCTTGATTACATCGGCAATGGTCATCATCATCAGCTCGGCTCGGCTCAGGTCACCTGACCAAGAGCAGCATAGTGAGATTACTGTCATTACAGTGAGAAGGTTATTTAAACACAGCTTTATAATGTGCAGGAGTCCAAATTGTCAAATGCAGCTTTACGGAGTGAATCGCAGTCCAATATGCAGTGTAACGGATCTCTATGAAAACGAGAAAAGTTGCTGAACTCTTCTCTGCCGAGTTATGCAGCTTCTGTCATCATCTTATGGGACCTGCCGTTAGCATTAGCTTTAAGCTACAATCACCCTCAGCACTTTAGAAAGCAGTTTGCGATGTTTTAAACGCTTTGCCACACACTCACTCTTTTTCTTTGGCTTCCCCATTTCCTTCGTTAGTCACCTAGTCCAATTATTTACGAAAGGAGGTCTGTTAAAAGTGCTTCATCTGTCTTTAAAGCCCGACAGCACTCTGGGGTAACAGTAAACAACTCCACGTTGCGACCGAACACGGCACCTGTCGTGCGGGGATAGCGGCTGTCGCAAAATGACGTAAACACACTTTCGCAGTGTTTAACCTGTCATTTATTGACTCGTAAATCTGTTCATGAGTAAAACAACGCCAAGTTTGGCTTATTTAATAGCGAGTGGGGCTGTTTCGCTAAAACATCCCAACATGCGCAGCTGGAAGGAGACGCGCAGACTCTACGACAGCTGCGACCACAGAGCGGCGCTCAATCCCGTCTCATAGCGACGGTCCGCGTGTGCGCGGAGCAGCTGACGGACTTGGAAGCTCTCTGACTTAAGTCTCGCAGCAAATCCCTTTAGCTGCGAGCTGACATGGCTTGACTGATTCCTGCGGGAAGTCTTCAGGAAATGCAACAGGTGGAGGAGCTGTGGTTGTGAACCCTGGACCATCGTAAGTGTTTCTTAGACCTTAATGGGGCTTTCCACGGTGCTGTGTACAAGTGCCGCTTACTTTTATCGGCGGTAAATGTGGAAGTATTTAATCCTGTGTGCTGCTGTCATGCAGCCCTCATTAGCGTGCCCGGCTAGCTGCTGTGTGTCACTACTTGAAGGTGCCTGAGAGGAGAGGAGGGAGTCGGACGGGCGAACCACTGCGCACACGGTTAGTTTGTTACTCTGAACTACGGAGGCTTTATTTCTTTTATTTACCTTGTTATCTTCTCACGGTAGACGTCACCAGTCTGGAGTTAAAGTGATTTAGAAAATGAACGCAGTTTAATCGCTGTGTTCAGGTGTCACTCGGATAAATAAGTGTTATCTCACAATGTGTGACATTAAGTACACGCCAAGTCATTTCACGGGTGTTTTGGTTGTTTTTTAAATTCATGTGACGCAGGTCAGGTGCCACCATGGATGACAACAGTGTCAGTGACTCCAATGTAAAGGTGGCTGTTCGTGTGCGGCCAATGAACAGGAGAGGTGAGTAAAACGGCTGCACTCGCTGGTTTCAATGAAGCTTTTTAAAGGCAACCTTCAAAGGGAAGTGTCAGCCCTGCACTTCAGCCATATCTGTGTTTGCTCTCGTTCAACTTTTGGTAAACAGTAAGGCTCAGTGCAGGGTTAGGTTTCTCCTCAAGCTCTGAAGTATGCACGCACTTCTTATGTCTTTAAGCTTTGAATTCAAACATCGCAGAGACGTGTTTTGCGCACTGTCACTGGCCTAAATACTTCTGACAACAGCTGAGCTGAGTGTCAGCTAACTGCAGCAGCAACTTTTGAACTTTTAAGTGTAGCTATCACTTTCTGATTCAGAGCCTCAAATGAAAGCTGATAATAAAGCATTTTAAAAGATAAAATACAACCTTGTGACTCATATGCCCTTACACCTACTCTGACAGGAAGTTGCTGCTCTGTCTCCGCCTTAAAATCCTTCCCGTGCAGGTAGGAATGAGGAAGAGAAGGTGTGAGCCTGGTTTTCCTTAGTGTCAGCACAGGGATTTGTAAACTGGTCGTAGTGTTTGTGCAGGCCTGGATGAATCGGCCTCAATAAAACCTCTTCCTGCCTCCCTTTGTTGGCCTGTGTGAAGCTTATGGACACACACGCATGCATGCATGCCACCTGTTACTCTGCAGAGTGACTCCGGCACTTTTAGGGAAAGTTATGACACCCAGTATATGAGCTGCTGCTTTTAAACATTATGAAGACTGTGCATTTCACTTTTTTTTTTAATCCAAAAATCACATGTTGTTTTCCTCCACTATCCAGAAAAAGACCTGAAAACCAAATGTGTGGTGGAGATGGATGGGAAGCAGACAGTCCTGCATCCAGCCCTCACCAGTATGAGCACAGCAGACCCCCGGTAAGCTGTTGCATGGAAGGAAGTAGTTGTGAGTTTGAAGCCAACCTGTTTAAATTTCAGACACTTTGTGGTTTATTTTTTCTCCTTTGTTCCACTTTCACCACAACATCTGATCCTGCGTTGTCCACAGTGGAGCCTCCCTGGTTAGCCAGTCAGTTTCTTGAGCTTCATCTCTTTATCAGGAAACATTGTCGAGCAGACATGTCGGCTTGAGTCGCGTTGCTGGGGATCATCAATCTGATGACATCACACTAAGTAAACTTTAGTTAAGCAGCACGCCACGACTTGTTCAGCTGTGTTTCAGACGTGGTGTTGGTGGCTGGAGCTTGACCATAGGTGTGCTTCACAACGTGTTAAATTGAAATTTGCAGCATGGATCTAATAAACTCTGGTTTTTCTGCAGACTGATGATAAATCTTTGGCTATGATTCAGAGCTGAAATTCCTTTGCTACTTCCCACCCTGCGATGTCGCTGTCATGATAGCCGCTGAAGAACATCCAGAGATTTAGGTTTGCGTCTTGTCCGCCGTCAGCAGGGACGGCTCCTTTGTTGGATAAGTATTGTCTCAGTGAATCAGCACCATACACATAGTGTCCAGGTCAGAAATGTGAGGCCAGTGCAAAAGTGGTGAGCAGGGCGTCGACGAGCTCCGTGAACGTTTCCTGTTTCTGTGAGTATTGACATCGTGGACGTGGCTCCATAACGTGAGATGATTGAAAGGCTGCCGCCATGTGAGGGTCACATTAACTTCTCGGTCACATTAACGCTTCACCTGTGATACTTGGTCGTTCATGCTGCATTTCTATTGGTCGGTTTGTAGAAGCAGAAGTTGTAATATGTGAATGTGACGACCAAAGTCACGTTCAGATACAGCCACCTACATTTCTCACACTGACCCCCCTCTGTGTGACCTCTGTGGGGTCACACAGCCATTGCGGCAGCTGCAACGATCTCCTGGTCCAGCTGGAAATCCTACGTTCATGCTATCAGGGTAAAACCATGACATCATCAGGCCCTCTGCCTTACACAACAGCACTCTTCTCCTCATCTCTACATTTTAATGACTCTCCTGTTTATGAGGAGCTGTTTGCATTGGACAAGTGCAGACAGTTCAGTGAGATTCCTGGCTGTGCGTTGTAGTGTGTGTACAATACCAGGACCGACTGTATCACAGATTCACTCATTTAGTTACCGTCAGGTGAGTTTGGAGAGGATCTAACCAGCTTTTCAGGTTGGAAAAGGGCTCAAATCTAAAGCTCCACCCATCCTCCGTGGAAATCTCCCTCCGTGTCTTCGGCATCGTTACTCTTTACAAAGGGCGTGTGCGCGGCTCAGCCCTGCTCAGGTAGTCTGACACACGTTTGAAGGAAGAAGCAAAGGGAAATGGTGTCGGAGTTTTCTGTAACTCCAGTCGTGTTTATGATGTCACACCGGTGCAGCGCGTTGCTGTGCACACACAACTGTATTTGTTTTGATGGCTGAGTTTGCAGACCGATCCTCGTGTTGCAGTGAGCCGGACACTGAGATGTTCTCTGGAGGTCCTCGTTCAGGTTCCCCTGCTCAGCCTGTGCCTCAGGGCAAACATGGACTAAGTGAATCACTGCCTTTGTCAGGAGGAGTCTCATGTTTCACTGTGATTCTTTGCATTTTTTCATGCGTGTGTATCCGTGTGTTTCTTCTGTCCTGACACGCTTCAGCGCCGCTGTGTTTCCTCATTTGGGGCTTGGTATGAACACGTTTACAGGCTGACAGAGGTCAGACGGGAACGGTGGTAAACTCATCTTTAACTCATGATAGATTTTACATTAACTAACAAGAATCAACAGTGTTGTTACTTTAGAAGTGAACTTTATTCTTCCCAATGGAAGGCTTGACCTAATTTATCCAGTCGGTAAATTTGGTCTTTACAAAGCTTCAGCATTTCACATAATCTTCTCAAGGCTCGCGGACTTCTCCAAAACCTTCCTGCCGACTGGAGTTAAACTGCTTTTTTACCCTCTGTGGCCCAAACTGGTCTCCAGTCCTACCACTGCTGTGTCAATGGGACGTTACAAACGCTGCAGTCATTGTCGCGTGATGCTAATACGCTGGATTGTGACGCACAACCTGACGTTCAGCCTGGTCGCACTGTCAAACGTACAAATGCACACGATTGTTGGATTTGTGTAAAATATCTGTGTAACTCAATGTTGGCACTGACAGGGTGTTGATGCAAAGGTTGATCATGATTGGTCAGCTCCTGTAGGAGGGAACACATGCTACCATCATCAGTAGTATGAGTTCATAATAAAGGGTGTAGCTGTAAAGCGATGATAGTGCCTGTTTAAAAAGCCTAAAGTGACCGACGTGATCAGCTGATTTGATCACATTAGCCGTTTGCAGGAGTTTTGCTGTCAGCGTCTCTAACAGACGATTGTTTCGTGCCAAAGTGTGGAAAGCAGAAGGCATCTGTGTCTGCAGGTTCCCTGTTTGCTGTGAAGAGGACGGCCTCTTCTGTGAAGTCTGTGCTCGGTCAGC